TTATGTTTCCAGCTGCAAAATCATATAGTTTACGCATCATCAAGGGGTGTGTATATATATATATATATATATATATATATATATATATATATATATATATATATATATATATATATATTAGTCCGATGACTTGCAACAATGTCATCACTTAAGTAATGCATGGGAGGACCTAGCAGTAGATCGACTTGAGCTTATTTTAATTAAAAGGTCTCAGCTAGCTTCCTCTGCTGTTTTTTTCTCTGAGCCATATATTACTTTATTATTATTATACACATATATATCTTGCATGAATCGCACCAATTCTGAGCCATTAATTATATATACACATATATGAGTATATATATCTTGCATGATGAATCGCATCATCATTTGTTTAGGAAGTCATTCGTCTGATCAACGACACGTGGAGCACATCTCATTCCACTATTCGTAATAATGATGCGATAGTTCTCTTTTCTCTAATCTCTACCGACGATGCATGGATGGCATGTGCGTCTTTTATTTGTTACTATAATAACTGGCGTGGATGCATGAGGTGCGTAGTGCGTGCATGTTAGATCGAGAGCTGACCCAGCACTCTGACTAGAGAGTGATCCGCAATTCGTCGCAAAAAGAGAGAGAGAGAGAGAGTGATCCGCAATGTTATTATTAGTTTGTTAATTACAAATATTCTGCGAAATAGTTCCTCCATTCCAAACTACATATATAAAATGTTTTAACTTTTTTAGATATATTATTTTTACTATGCACTTAGATATACATTATGTTTAGATACACAGTACAAGCTATGCATTAAAAAAATCAAAGTATCTTATAATTTAAAGTATGTAAGTACGTCTTTTTTTCTCACGAGAGGGCGCTCTCAAATTTTGAAGTCAACTTGCTATGCTTATACATATACACATAGTTTGTTTAATTTATCTCCTAGTCAACCCTTCATCCGTTTTTTTATTTATGGAATAAAACCATATATAAAAAAATCAACTGAGGGAGTATCTAACTAATACATTCAAGTCAACTTAGCAAATCTGATTAACTTTAATTCGGTGAGGTCTCCAACAACCATTTAATATATTGATATTGATATTAAATACTATAAAGTCCGTGACTTTGAATTTGACACCACATGAAAGTATTTTCAAATATGCATTCGTTGTTAACAATTTTTAATAGTACATAATCAAAGAATTCTTAGATGTACTATATATGAGTCAAAGATTATGGCCCTGATTGGTACAGCTTATCTGGAAGCGCTTCTCAGATAAGCTGCACAAATAGAGTAAAAGCGACGGTCAAAATAAGCTGGTCTGATCTAACTTCTGTTTTTTTAGTATAAATAGAAGCTGTGGAAATAAGCGTGGCCAAAATAAGTTACTGAAAAACGTAGCATTTGGCTATTGATTTTAGCTTATTTTGGCCATAAACAGCTTATGAGCTGTACCAAACAGGCCCTATAAGTTTAGATTTTAAACTGTGTCTGCGCTTTATGATAGAAAAGAAATGGAGCAGTAATACATTTATTTTTTAAAAATAAAAAAGCACCTGTACGAAATCCTATGTGTATTCAAAAAATAACTCTTATTTGCAAGATTGGATTGATCTGACTCTCCCTTTAAGCTTCTAACAAATGGTAATTATTGAAATGGGAAATCATTTTTTTTTGGTTTTATGAAACCTTGAATGGGAGAGAAGGTGTAAAGCGGGGTGCTTTATTAAACTGATCATAGTTGGAGAACCAAATGAATTGGTTGGGTTTGTTACGGTGGATCCACCTACATAAGTCTTTGACTTGATGTGGGCAACCATATTTTTTTGGATTTATTTTAAAATTTAATATATAGCGACGTATTTGCGGTGACTTTATGAATATCAAAATATGCCATCATTTTAGCTTTTTGAAAATGCTCATAGATATAAGGTTTGAAATTATAGAGGGCACGTGTGCATATATGTATGTAAGAATATGTGCATGTTCCTAATGTGATTTGCAAAAAGGAAAAAGTCTACACGACTCCCAACTATTCAGAGTGGACTATTTCACCCCAAACTATAAAACCAGATTTTCTATCCCTGAACTTTTCAAAACCGGTCAAATAACCCCCCAAGAGGTTTTGGACGGTGGTTTTGCTATAGTGACGGTGGTTTTGTCTTTTTCTTTTTTATTTATTTCCGCTGAATCTTTGAAAAATCATAGTAAATCACAGAAAAATTATAAAATAAAAAATCTAATTTTGTTGGATTCCACGTGAGTAGATCTACACAGTGAACATATAATATGATATGTTTTAGTAAAAAGTTTTTGCTGTACCTTTAGATATATGATTTTCTGTAATTAATTGGAATAATTCATATCTGCAGCTTCTATGGTCTAATTATGGTGAAATTTTTATGATGGACTAATTATTGTATGCTTGAACTGTAGTAAAAATTTCATATCCATTGGATCATGTATAACTTAGTTATAGATTTATTTAGGTTTATGCTTGTTGAATCTACGCTTTATCAAATTATCTTTGCATTCATATGCGTAGCGTCAAAAACGGAGTCCATATACGACTTGAGCATCCGTTTTACTGCAGCCTGCTTCTAGAGTCCAAGATGGACTCGAACTTAATATGGACTGAGCCTCCAAATTGACTTGGACACCCTTGCTGGCCTCCTAAGGAGGTGGCCAAGGAGGATGATGTCCAAGGGCTTCCTTGATGTTCTCTCCATCTCCTTGCGACATGCTTCAACTTGGGGCCAGGGTCCCAAGGGTGAATATCATGCCCATGATGACGACGCAGCTCTCAGCAAGAAACAACGGAGACTTGTCGTGATGGTTTGGAGGCCTTGCCGATGTGATTTTGAGCTCAAACTAGATCCATTTGAAAGCTTATCTTTCCATCAAGTGCTTATGGACCTCAAACTCACTCCAGATGAAAGAGCTATGGTTTTTCCCATTGAAGTACTGGCGGCCGACGATGAACGGGAAGTTTAACTTTGATGGATTTGCACTTTGAGATTGGACTTGTTCATAGCATATCCATTCTCTATCATCATCACCATTTGTCCTAAGCGCATTTGAAATATCAACATTAGGTAGTAACCAATTCTTAGATTTACCACTATGCAAATATAGGAACGAGCTCACCTTATAATCAATAGTTGTATGCGAAGGTGTCATGTCCTCATCATGTGGATGTGGAGTTTTTAGATGTCGAAAATTGTATCGAGAGATGTACGGTTGAGAATGTTATGCTTGTGAAGAATTACAAAGTAAAGATAGCTAATAGCAAGCAATGTACAACAAATATAGCATCAAAATTCATGTTGTGGCTATCACACTAGGACAACAAACACTTTAGTAGAGAATACACACTCACAATTATAAGTTATTAGCCAATAAGCAACAATTGCCATCAAGTTTTCAATTCAGATTAAGGACATAAAAACAACCACGTCGTGAAATAAAAGTTCTCAACTAATAAGCTTTTCTTTATCTCAAATTATTTTGATTTTTAGTTTAGGGAGAAAAAGCATTAGATATACTTCATATGTCCCAAATTATAAGGCATTTTAGCATTTATAAATTCATAGCATTTGCTATGTATCTAGACATAACATATATTTAGATGCATAGCAAAAGCTATGAATCTAAAAAAAAAACCAAAACGTCTAATAATTTAGAACGAAAAGAGTAGTATTTTAAATATAGGACGAATAATCCATAACGGTTAGATTTTGCCAATTCTATGTATATCGAAACTCATATCCACGTACAATCGGATTTGGATTATCTAAATTTCAATCGAATTGAAAGATTACCTATACCATTTTCACCCATCCTATGTCATCACAATATCTTGCAATTAGATTTTTTTCTAAAAAAAATTCTCCAAAATTCAAACGCAATCAAAGTCAACAATGGCACCACTAATAAACTGGTGCAAATTACGGAACCCTTTTTCTGTTGTAAGCGCAAAACAATCAAATCAAATTTATACGGTATAAAAGAGAATCGCCGTGCGCACATGGCACATGGTGATGGCGAGAGACCATAAACAAAAACCGGCGCGGCACGCCACCCGCTAAAGTCCGAGCCCCCCGTGACGCAATTCCTCTTCCCATTTTACGAGTATATATTATTGATTTATTTACTTGTTTATTATTTGCGTTTTGTATCTTTTCCCGACACCAACTGACCTGTTTTTCATATTTCGTGGTCCGAAGCAGGAACCACGTGGGACCCGTTCCCCGCGCAGAGAATCCCGAGGCCCCACCGCGCCAGGCACTGGCCGCCCACCACGGTTCGCCTCGTGCGCTCCCCGTCCCGGACACGTGTCGTCCTATCGACGACCCGCCCACCGCTTCCGGGGCACGCTGGACGCTCGGTCGCCGCAAACCCTTCGCACCGACATGCGGGTACCGTTCCCCACGGCCCCAGATGTCAGTGACGTTCTACGGAACCCGCCAGAGTGCAGCGGGAAGGGCGTCGTGCCGTACCACGTGGGGGAGTCGACCGGGGGAACCGGTTAACGTGGCGTGGGCCCCGCCGAGAGCGACGCGCCCGATCCGGTCACCGCGGCTCGGGCCCGCCGCCCCTAGTCGCCATGCGAACCACTCCTGTTCTTTTCTTTTTTCTACTCCTATTCTTAATTATTTTCTGTCTATCTATCTCCCGGTCTCCCCCGTTTCCCCAGCTGGTAGTAATCTAATGCCCTCGTTTTCAATTAAAAAAGGGCGCGCACGCCATTAAACAAAAGCAGAATAGCACACACGGCAAGGCCTACAAGAGGAGAACGGTCAAGGCTGCCGCGCATCGTCATCACTAGACAGTCAGTCGAGAGGGAGGACGAGGCGGTGCTGAGAGAGAAGCTTCACAGAGCTTGCTTGCTTGGGGTTGGAGCCTGGACCTGGACGGGGCGTGCCGAGCTGTCCGTCTCTCCACTCCACCCACCAGCTACCTCGGGAGGGCAAGTCCGGCAAAATCTGCGGCCTCCTTTCCCGAGCCCGGTTGCATGGAGAGGGACTTCCTGGCCGCGATCGGCAAGGAGCAGCAGCACCCGCACAAGGAGAAGGCAGCTGGCGCGGAGGAATCAGGTATGCTCCCCGGCCTCCATTCGCCGCCTGCCGCCCTGGGTTTCTTGATCTGTGCCCGCACCGAGGCGTGCCTATAGCTTCTTGCCGTGCTGGGTTGGGTTCGCTCCATTCGTTTCGGCGAGATGCGGCATGGGTGCGCTGCGAAATTCTCCCCTGTTTCTTTTTTTTAGCTTTACTTTATCTTGGCAACAAAGAGTGCGGGCATGGCTGTCTGGCATGCCTGCCGAATTCCTTTTGACGGCCGGCCTGCCGTGTACGCTCGATTCGGGCGAGAGTTAATGCGTGAAGAAAGCGATGATTTTTCCGGGAGAGACTGGCCGAACCTTTCGGACAGCCGCGGGTGTCGTTAGTTGATTTCGAGCCCGCCTCTGCTCGCACGTGGGACGGGGATCGTTAACGGATCCATCTCTGGGTTCGTGCTTTCTTGTGTGTATTTATGTGCCGGCGTCTGCTGATTCTCAGAGGCGTGTGCAATCTCTCCCAGCTTACTTCGGAGGAGCAGGAGCAGCAGCTCCGGCAATGGACTGGTCCTTCGCTAGCAAGCCCGGCGCCGCCCCGGCGTTGATGTCGTTCCGGTCGGCGGCCAGGGAGGAGCCTACGTTCCCCCAGTTCTCCTCCTCCTTCGACGGTGTCAAGAACCCGGCCCCTCGTATCCTCACGCACCAGGTATGCGCGGCTGCTCTTCTTGGTTCTGATTCATGTCAGCTTCCGAGTGCTCTTTTATTAATACATCTAGTTCCCTTTTCCGGCCTCTGATGATGTTTTTGCAGAGATCTTTCGGCCCCGACAGCACGCAGTACGCCGCCGTGCACCGCGCGCAGCCGCCGCAGCATGCGCTGAACGGGGCTAGAGTCATTCCGGTCTCGTCGCCGTTCAACCACAACAAGCCGATGTTCAGGGTCCAGAGCTCGCCTAGCCTTCCGAATGGTACTGCGTTCAAGCAGCCGCCTTTTGCCATCAATAACACCGTGGCCAGTTCTACTGTGGGTTTCTATGGAACAAGGTAGTTTGTTTGCTGTTATGACCGTGACTTATAGAAGTGGCTGTGAAATTAGTATCGACTGAAACATCGCTTGTTTTGCCTGTGAAGGGATGCGGTGAGGCCAAAGACGGCACAGTTGACAATCTTCTATGCCGGTTCTGTCAATGTATTCGACAACGTCTCAGCTGAGAAGGTATAATTTCTCATGATCTTTTTCATTTCGATGCTAATTTGCTTTGCCTTTAAGCTCCTTCATTGACAATTTTCATTGTCACAGGCTCAGGAGCTCATGTTCTTAGCAAGCAGAGGATCTCTTCCAAGCTCAGCCCCTGTTGCCCGCAAACCAGAAGCTCCTATTTTCGCTCCAGCAAAAGTCACAGTGCCTGAGGTTTTGCCTGCAAAGCAGATACTATTTCATAGACCACAGCATGTTTCGTCGCCTCCATCTGCCATCTCCAAACCAATCCCTGGCATCTTGCAAGCTGCAACTCTCCCCAGGAGCGCCTCTAGATCTAACCTTGACTCCCCAGTTCCGAAATCTTCTGTCCCATTAGCTGTTCCTCCGGTGAGTCAGGCTCCGGCAGCTCTGCCTGCAACACTTGCCACTACTACTGCAGCAGCAATAATGCCTAGAGGTACTGCTGGCTGTTTATGCTTTGCATAGAGAACTGGCTATCATTGTAGTATTCGGTAATTCTGGTTGATTTTTGTTACACTGTATTGAAATTGTTATTGTCCGTTGCAGCTGTCCCTCAAGCTAGAAAGGCGTCCCTTGCTCGATTCTTGGAGAAAAGAAAGGAAAGGTAGAATCCATATTCTTATTCCCAGTGTCCTAGAAACAGTTATCAGTGATTCTACCACATTTGTTTTGAGTGCATCGCAGCAACTTAATTCCCTATGACAGATTTGCAATTGTTCTGATCTTGCATGCTGCTTTTGCAGGGTGACAACTGCTGCGCCTTACCCATCAGCCAAGAGCCCGTTGGAGAGCAGTGACACGTATGGCAGTGGGAGCGCCAACGACAAGTCATCATGCACGGACATTGCCCTCTCAAGCAACCATGAAGAGTCCCTATGTTTAGGGCAGCCCAGGAACATCAGCTTCAGCCAAGAGTCCCCCAGTACAAAACTACAGATGCCATTTGATCTGATCATGCCCAATGTTCATAGATTTGTCCAGGCTGACTGATGCAAAAACCATAAAATACTTTTGCACTCAGGCAAGGACTCGAGAGGGAAGAGATGACATATGTTATCGATGCCGTTGTTGTTTATGATGATATTTTGCCGTGTTAGTTTACTTGTAATGCTGGTATAGCTGGTGGTGCCCCACCTAACTAACAAGAGAGCTGTCACTTGCAGACTCTTGATTATTTTTTTTGCCCTAGCGCCATTTCTGTTGGGAAAAAGGAACTCAAATGTGTTACTTTAGCAGTATCAAATTATATAGGCTTACATATTCTGCGCCTTTTGTATGTCCAAAGTGTAATATTCTTGTTCTTGTATTATGAACCTCCAAGCTGCAGAATGCAAGAGCAAAACTTATTCTCGATGGTGTTCTCATTGGCAGCATGTGTACACAGTATGGGCATGTTGTTTTGAGTTGTTCTGTTTTAATCGCCCTATTCACGAGCTTATTCAGCACTACTTTTCAGCCATGGAACAATGTTTTCTTCTCACAACATTTCAGCATAAGCATCAGCATAAGTCAGATTTCAAGAACAGATGGGCAGCAGTCGTTGCAAGGTTTTTGGATGTTCCTAAGTGGCTCCTCAACCAGTTCTGTTCTTTTCTTACTGATTCCTCAAAAGATTTGACAAATCCTCATTGGTGTGAGTCAGCCATCACAAGGTTTGGAATGAGGCATGTTGCTTTCGTAGAGGGAAATTTTGATCGTTATTGTTTTTGGCATGTTGACTGACGTGCCTAACGGCCTTCATTTTTTTTTTCTGCGTGCAATGTGAGAGACTGGTAGTGGGTTTGTCCCATTAAAAATGTGGCAATGAATTTCCTTTATATAAACAATGTCTTGCCTTCGTCTGCTTCTGATTGTTCCTGATAGAATTGCTAATTAGCTTGATACATGAATCACCTTTCAAATTGTGCATGAACATTCGTCTTTCTGAGAGATGCAATAACATTTCGAATTTGGATGAACCTACTCTTCCCGGGAAAATCAGTTGCCTGTCTGTCATTACTCTTCCCGGGAAACTCGAGTTTTCTGGGCTTCAATTCAACCGTCACCACCACCATCTTCGCTGCTGCTTCCAATCTGGTGGGCCTGGACGTTCCCCGTCGATTGTTCATGGGCTTGTCTGGATTCCCCTAGCCCGGCCCACAGTACACGGTGACTGTCTAGAGGCGCGAGCGAGTCCGGCCCGTGAAACAGGACGGCGACGTGTCACTGACCGCAGAAATCGCGCCCGTGCGCGGCCCACCCACCGCCGGCGGGTCCAGCCACTAGCGCGCAAGGGCCCGGGCGGTGACCGCGGCGTACCATCGGCCGGCCCGTGCGCCGTTGACACGCCCGCGCCGACCGGCGCAACGTCGCCACACAACAAGACAATGCCCCCCGGCCCCTCCCTCCACCGCCGGCGGCGAAGCGATTGAAAGGCAGGCAAGGCAGCCCGCGACGCGTCAGTCTCCGGCACAATCGTCGGTACGTGGACCGCCGGCGAGCGAGCGAGTGGTGGGCGGTTAGGTTAGGTCAATCATTGCGCGCCGAGGGATCCCGATCCTGCCATCCTGGTATCACCATGACAGGTGTTGCTCCGTAACGGAGTGGTAGGGTTGCATGCATGCAGGCTTCCAGCTGGAGGATGCAATCTGCAGGGATTGTTGTGTCAAGTCAATCTTTGCTGAGGAAAAGAGTAATGTAGGAATGATGGTTCAGCACCATTGGCTGCAAATGAAAAGGTAGAGATGCGCCGAGTCCATGTCCATCGATCGCCTGGGGGCCATGGATGGAGCATATCCTGATTTGGTTGTTTATTCTTTATTCCCGCCACTTGTTGTACCTTTTTTCCTCCCCAAAATTTCTGCTGCTGACAGCAGAACAATAGCCAGCCAGCCAAGCAAAAAAGTGAGCTGAATGTCGGCTTTGTTCCAGGGAATAAAAATTTCAGAAATGTACGTAGTGGATATGAATGTGAATGTAGCAGCAGTACTCGGTCTTGTCTCCCACCCCTTTTTTTTTTGAGCTAAAAGTAATGGCTATTTTTAGACACGCGTGCTAGCCTCCACTGAGGTGGATAGATTAGTTTTGAATTGTGGTACGGTGTGAATAGTTATACCACCAGCTTTGAGGAAGTGTGTTCGTTCATAGCTTGCAGACGAGCTCAATAATCGCGTATACTCTCTGAATGCGCGCTTCCGCCGAGTCAAGTCAAGCTGACGGCTTCTCCCTAAGTGACTGACCAGACTAAAGTTTAATAGTTATCACATCGGCTATTTTGATACTAATTAGAAAGACTAAATATAAGCATAATTAAATTTAAAAGATTCGTCTCGTAAATTAATCTTAATCTATGCAATTAGTTTTATAATTAATCTACGTTTAATACTTTTCCAGCGCTGTGACAGGAACTAAATTTAAGTTGGGGACCTGACACCCCAAGTCGACGAGGCCACTCTCGTAACTCTCGAATTTGAAGTCTATGACAGCCCTTGTTGTTGTCATCTTGTGTGAGCAACTAAGCTGAACATGCGTTGAAATTGAAAGCTTCCAAATCAGCTCAAGAACATGTTTATTTTCCAGCGCTGTGTACGCGTACGCACGTACGCTCGGCTCCACCAACCTCGCCGACCTCTTCTTCTCATGCACCAATTATTGACGTCCCCATTTAACATTTGGGACTCAAACTACTCAACCATCAGCTACGTACTAAGGGCATGTTCGGTTCCTATGAAATGACCTTCAGGATATATTTCTAGCTGTATTGCTTTATTAATTTGAATAACCGTCATCATCAGGAACGGTTTCTGGACTCGTTTTGGAACAACCGAACAAGCCTTAGAGCATCTCCAAGAGTTTCCTAAACTTTTCACCTAAAAACATTATGTTTTTCAACTCCTAAAAAGATATTAAGAGAAAAAAAGAAGCACATCTCCAATAGTACCCAATATTCCACTCTAAAAAAATAAAAATTTAGTCCACTTGAGTTTTTTTCTTTTTCGGCAATTTTTTCCGTGCGAGAGTCTTCAAGGCCGCCGCCGCTCCTCCTTCCTTCGTCGTGCCCTAGCGCCGTGCAATTCCAACCGGCCGTGGCCACCACCTCCCAGCCACAGACTGGCGGCACCTCCCAGCAGGCCGACCATACCTCCCGACCTTGAGCCACAGGCCGCCGGTCACCAGTCAGGCAACTAGCCATCAGCGGAGCAGCAGTATTTGCCGGCCAGTAGCAGTTCAGTACCATCAGCAACCATCAGCAGAGGACAGTACCATGAAGCGGCCATCAGCAGAGCACACTAGCATGCAGGCAAGCAGTAGCACAGTACCATGCAGCAGGCAAGTAGTCCAATGCAAAAAAAAGCTGCTGGCTGCCGGCCACCAAGACAAGCTAGCAGCAGAGGAAGATGGCGCGTAGATGGTGTAGTTCTTCATCCGCTGGAAGATGGCGCGGCTCGTCAGCACGGTGCTGATGATGACGCTCAGGCCGGGCTCCGTGAGCACGATGTCCGACGCGCCCCGCGCCGCGTCCGTCTCGCGTCCGCCACCCCGATCCCGATGTCCGCCTTCTTCAGCGCGGGCGCCCGCAGATGTGCTTCCGTTCCTGCAGCCGCCGAACGATCTCGTACTTGTGCTCCGGGAACATGCCCGCGAACCCGTCCGCCTTCTCGATCAGCTCGTCCACGGCGGCGGCGGTATGGATAAGACTAACGGCAAAATACCAGAACGGAGCAGTAGATCGATGGAGTTTTTACCTCTTCCTTGGTCGGCGGCGGCGAAGATCCTCTGCCCCTCGATGAAGAGCAATGGCACGACTGACAGAACCGCGGCAAAGGAAGGGCGCGGGAAGGAAGAAAACGTCGCGACCTTTGCGCCACGGAGGATACGTGTGAGTTTGCCGTGCGTAAAGTTACGCGGACGAGGAGTTTTTTCCCAACTCCTAAAATATTAGGAGATTGTATTAGGAGTTGTTGGAGATGGTTTTTTTCACATCTTTCTAAAAATCAAGGATTAGGGAGAGATTTAGGGAACTCTTGGAGATGCTCTTAAAAGGAGCCAATTGAGGAACAGCGACACCTGGATGGCGACAGCATTGCAATTTGCACGCTCGTGTCATCGTGCATGTGTGATCGAGGAGACTAGCTCGTCTCATGGCGCTCGTCGATCCAAACATTCCTGAAGGATCGAGAAGACAACCACAGGGGTGAATTTCTTAAGAAAGAACTTACCTATATTTCAACCCTCTCAATAAATATCTCTCTTTTCTAATAAAATCAAGTTCTATTAGTCATGACACGCTTATAGGACTTGGAAAAGTGTTAGGAAGCTGAAAAGACCATGCGGAAGCAAAGAGCAAATCAAGGAAATACCTTGGAATCCCCCGATGATGATTTTTAGCCTGCAAATTGTGGAAGTTCTGCGTTCAAACATGGAAGTTCCGCACCGTTGTATTTAACAGACTGAACCAAAGAAAAATAGTTCGAAACTCGATCAAACGAGATCCGATTGCGCTGAATTTTTGTACACACCTTTTCTAGGATGTTTTCAAGGTGTCCACAAAATTTCACCTCCAAAAGAGCAAAGCTTGGACAGCAGCATGAAAAATAGTATCTCAAATCAGGGTTTTCTCAACTACCAACTACTCGCGCACCTACCTTGACTTGGTCAACCATCATCTTGACTTGGTCAACCATCATCTTGACTTCAGTCAACACTATCTATGCTCCGTCACATCTACATTTGCTTGTCTATGTCTGATAGGATCTAGATGGCTAGAGGGAGGTGGGTAGCCTACAAAACTTTTCCAACAAACTCACAAATACTAGAGCAAAAGTTGATTAGTATAAAATGAGGCCCTACTAGCAACTACTTGCTCTAGCTCTAATTCACCCAATGCAAGCCTCCTACATAATTCTAGTAGCTTAGTCTCTCGTTTATGTCACACAAACAAAGAAGCTACTAACAAAACTAGAGGGCTACAACTAGCTAGAGCTACTAAGAAAGCAACTACGACTAGCTAC